GACGAGTTCTTTCTTCCCATTCTCTGTTCGGCCTGAAGGTTAAAGAAAACATCCACGTTAGTCAGATGACATCACTTGAACATAATGTAGAATCAGAACATTGATGTCATTATGGCCTACTCTGTGGGAGCTGCAGCCAGTTGCGGTCGATGTAGTAGAGGTAACAGCTTTCAAACTCTTTGACACTGTAATTGGGCACCGACACGGGGACGAACGGGTCCATGCAGTCAAAGCCGCTCTGAAGGACAAAATCAAGACACAAGGTCAAAAGACAGGACATGAGAGCTGTTTACTGAAAATAAACCAGTTGATTCAAACATCCCTAAAATTGATCGACTGTCCGAGCACGCTCAGATGACATCACTATGATGACATCAGCACTGACCTCTCCCAGCAGCTCATGTGGCAGGTAGACTGACTTGGGGACAAAAAGAGACCCAGTCTGAGAGACAGTGGTGATGACGGCTCCTCCAGTCTGAAACACGAGAGCCAGTGTTAAAAAGATTTGAAAATAAAAAAAAAACAACTATAAAATAACCAGTCAGTGTCGTCGTTGTTCTTCTCACCCAGTCGTTCTTCATTAGCTTCCTCAGGTTATGGACTACAGTCAACGCCTGTGGTTCCACCTGATGATGAAAACAAAGAGCCCCAGTCCTTCAACAGTCCACTTACATGTACGAGACACGACAGCAGTGTGAACGTGGGTTTTCTTACAATGCTCTTATCCTCCTTCTTGATGGTGCTCTTTCCCCACAGACCATTGACACCATCTATGGCCACAGCGAGACGGAAGACGGACTCTGGTTGTCCACTCTGAAGCCTCAGTTCCTTTATCAGCGCCCCCACCACGTCACTGCTGCTCTTCACACGAGATATGCCCTGTGAAGAAGTCAGCAGGTCAGATATTAATAATTACAAATTTACAAAATTAAAAGTTAAAAAAAGCTAATGTTCTAACATCTTTACTGCCAACTGGAATAAAAATCATATTTCTGTCTAACATTATTATCTGACATTTTTTTTGTAATGCACTTGTGGGCTGAATTGGACAGTTCAGTGGGCCAGATTAGGCCCGCGGGCCACCAGTTGATGATCACTGCCCCTCCCAATCGCCAGATTTCTAACTATAGTGCCATATTTCGCTGTTAAAGTCAGTTTCAGCAGAGACAGCCGATGAGTCACAACACTAAGAGGAGTTAAATGAACAATAATAACCTCAGACACTGTTCATTGATTTATCCAGTGTCGTCCCACGGGTTCAGACACTTCAGGATGTTTATTATTTAGGCCACAGTAACAGGTAGATTATTATTGTCCACCTTTATAATTGTACACAAAGGAAACCCCAGTGACTGTCAAGACACTATATAACATCACTAATGTCACTTTTTTTTTATTCTACAACAAAAAGGCCATTCCCACGTTCCACATTAATCTACGGCCGGTTTCTGCCTTTGACAGAGTGTGGTAGGAAAAACATTGTGACGATCCATCACTGAGCTCAGTTCATCGTCTATCGATCAACACTAAACGCAGGAGGACTCTAACGACACCTGCGGGGCAGTTGTTAAGACAGCAGGAAAAATAGGAGGGAAGGGTTAGAAATAAAACAATGGAATAAAAATGTCTGAGAGGCAAAGATATACAGCCACGTTCCAAAAAAAAGAGAGAAATTAATACAAACCTGTTCCACCAGCTGTCCCAGAAGACTGCCCTCCTCAGTGAACTCTCTCTTTGTCCACACATAACGATGCTTTGTCTTTATCTTAAAAAAAACAAAAAACATTTTTCATCAACATCTGGACGGTAAATGAAAATAAATAATGAAACTATATTTCAAACGATTCACTGTCGTCATGTTTCAGTTGCTATCTTTAGACAGTTTAATTAGTTTACATGTATCAGCAGTGTGGGACCTCAGCTGCTGCTGAGACACAGTCAAGACTCATTAAAGATCAATTAATAGCAGAGCACTTGCCGATAATATAATTATCTCCCAGTGAGGTAAATTAGCATATTTAATTTCATTACATGGTGTAAGGTTGTCTTTCCGATGATCTAACAAAAGTTCAGCGTGCAGTATATACATGTCAATACATATATGTATATATGTGTTCATATATGTACATATATACACCTATATGTACATATTTACATATACATACACATATATGTACATATATATACATACATACACACATAAATACATATATATACATATATACATACATACACACATATACATACATATACACACAGATATATGCATATATACATGTCATCCAATGACTGACAATCTTATAGGGATAATAAAAAAGTACCTTTGACAGAAATTTCTCGTTTGTGATTTTGAAATTGCGTAACCATTCTACAGATTGCAAAGGTTGATCAAAGCGAGAGTTGTTATACGACGAGGGCAGCAGCTCCTTGCAGTTCTTCACCCAGATGAAGGCTGTCAAACAGACACACACACACAAACACACACGTGAAGGAGTTACTTCTTAATGATCCTGTCACATGGTTTGGATATTTTTTTTTTCTCTTACCGTCAGGAATGTGCAGCACCAGCCATCCCTGTGTGAAGCAGTAGTGAACTGTGTGACACAGCGACATCGTCTTCCCGCTGCCACCTACACCATCTGAACAAGTCGATAAGGTCAACCAGAGATCAACGAATCAGGATCTTTACAGACATGTCGGTTTGGGTTTACTAGAAGATGACCAAGCGTTTGAAAGGATACAGAAAGTATATCTTATGGCAGGTTTGCTGTAGTCCGCTTTCTTCAGGGAGGAGATGACCTCCAGAGCAGGCTGCCTGACCATCACACAGCCTTCGTTGAACGTCTTCACCTGTTAATCCACATATTTAGAGTCATTATCATTACTGTCATCATTTTGGCCTGACCTGTAATTTAGGCTGAGGTTTTAGCACAAACCTGTTTTCGATAGCTCCAGGGTAAACCATGAGGAAACACGGTGCGAATGTCCGAGGGAGGCAGAGTGTAATACTGTCCGATGTGGTCCTCAGAGTGAAATGCCTGAAAAACACAGTAAACAAAGAAAATAACTGAACCAGTTCAAATACATATAAAGAGTTAAAAGAACGCAATTTCTTTTCCTTTTTTTAAAACCCTGCAGAAATATGTAAAAACATTTTGCTTACCGGGTTACTTTCTCGGGTTCTGAAGATGGAGGGAGGGTCAGGCTCTGACTCTAAGGCCAAAGGTTCTTGCTGCAGGCATCCGCTGGTATGAAGAGTCCTAACATGTGATACCTGTAATTTTGTTTAATTTAGCAAAATGAATTTTAAAATTAAAGATACAAAGAAGTTTGTGTTGCATGTTCATTTATGGACTTTTAACTAAATTGCAATGTAATCTGAGTAGCTTTAAGACTCCTCAACGTGCTTTGGAGGTCTGTCAGACAGACTTTACCCTAGTGCAGATTCTCAAAGCCTTAAGAGTGTACTCACCGTTTGCCGTAGTCTGAAGGTCAATCTTTGAAGTGCCATGGTCAACGCTGAAAAATATATGTATACATATAATGAATCACAGACCCACAAAACATAAGGGCTGTATTTTCCCAGTCTTCTAACCTTGTCAAGCAACGGTCTAAGCTAAACGCTAACTACAGCGGTGCGTAGCTGTATGAGAAAAAATAACATTTACCTGCAGTCAGCTTTGTCAGTTTTTTATTTACAAAGACTGGGATTAATATCCTAAGAAAAAAAGAAACTAACAGACGATAAAAGGTTTAATATCCAGGACGTCCCAAGCAAACCAGCTAGCGATGTCAATGTGCCTGAGCAGCCATGGACACCGCCATCATTGATCTCAAAGCAGGAAGTGATGTCAGAGCAACTCAATTATATTGGACCAATTAGAAGACAGGAGGAGGATGCCAGCCGAAGACAACATTAACAACAGGGGGAAATAAAAGATTAAAACGACGTACGTTGTCTAAATTATAAATCTAAAACAGTGCTTTTCAGAAAATAACCTTTTAAACCTTTTATTATCTATTTCTGATAGGAAATAAATGATAATATGAGAGTAACGATCCCTCGAAAAAAATACATTTATTTTTCCTGATAGTACTTCATGAAATTATATTTATATAAATCAAAATGACATTTTCTGTGACTTGCACTTTCTTTTCCTCCACTATATAACATTTCTAGAATAAAGTGTGAAGACATCATGCATGTACTTTAAAGAGAACCTGTACATTACATTTCAAACAGCAAGAACAACCATAAAGCTATTTATTGAAGATATTAATATTTATTAGTTATAATAATGCTTATGTATGATCTGTAAATAATGATTAAACGTGTTGTTTGTGTTGTATCTTGTTGTTTTCACTGCTCTCCAACCTCGGTCACTGCTTTTTCTCCCTGGAGCTTCACTCAGTGAGGTTGCAGTCCAATAGGTGGGCACGTGAAGGCACAGCTGCACTCTGGACAGATATCTGGATCTAAGGTACAACAGTGATTAACTGTGTGGCTGTCTAGCTGCCACAGAGACAGTGATATTAAAACACAAGTTTGAAAAAAAAATCTATTACATTGCCAAGAGAAATTGTGAGGTAAGGCTTGACATTCCTCTTCATTTTTGCTGATAGCTTTAACTTCTAAATGTCACACTGCAATACTGGTTTGTATTACTAAAGCTAAATCAAATATGGCACAGCTTACTTTTTTCCATAATAATTTCACCCCAAAGAAATGTCAGAGACTGCTGGCAACAGCAAAAAAGCAGCCAAGCCGAGAATGGAGGTAAACTATTCATCACTGCCTGAAAACTTAAGGGGCAATTCTAATAAATCTAAAGTGACATTTACAGTACCACTGTGGCTTGACCATGACTACACACCTGTAGCTAGGGTTGAACCAAGGGTTAGTGGAAGAGGTGAGAGTGATGGCTGGTAAAACAGTTCAGAAGGAAAGGGAAAGAATGAGATGGAGGAAGGCGATGCTTTAAATATAGTACATATATTGTAGGTAATAAGACAGACGATAAATAACATTGTGATCTGGGGTTTGTGGAGATCAATAAAGTGCTGACAATGTCCTGTGAGTTGTTTTTATTCACCATTATGCTTTTGTGCTTGTGATTTGTTATTGTGCTAAAAGGGAAAAAAATCACAACATTCCTGTGTTTAGAAAAACTCAAGACACTCCAGAAAGTCATTGGTGCATGAACAGCTATTTCAAGGAGAAAAATGTGTGGACCGGGGAGAGCGGTTTAGGAGAAAATATCAAAGATAAAACTTTGTGCCTCCTGTTTTGAAGATAAGATTTGATTACTGACTCTAATTTGTAATTACCAGTTTATTATACTCACATTTAGATAACAAAATGGCCCACAACACTGAAGATGTAAAAAAAAATAAAAAAGGGCCATTGAAGGAGTTTGACAGGTTCAGAAACTCACTGAAATGTGAAACGGCTGTATCATGATATTTATGAAAATTGAAAATACTTGCTGATCGGAGAATATGTTATTATTATCCCAAAAGAGTCATAATAACAATAGGTTAGTCTTTGTATTTTTCAAAATGAAATGAAATTAGGATTACTTTTCTGAAAACCTAGCACAATCTTCTGTTTTAAATTGATTATTTTTTATAAAAAACATTTGAAATACTCATAGGATTAAATCAGTTTTAACAATGTAATTTTATTTAAATGCTTCCACATACGAGTCTATTTCTTCAAACCAGAATCATTTTCTTTAACAAAGTTGAACATAATTTTTTTTTTTTTTACTTTTGTTTAACTTTTCTCTCTGTATAAGAACGTTTGACCCATTTACTGCCCTTGGTCATTCTGACCCCACATTTAATTCGTACCTACAGGTCTAAATTTAAAAATATGTTTTTGTAATAATGGGTTAGACTGCAGTTAGAATAAAAGTTAAAAACGGAATTGATTTCAATGTATACTGTGTATTTTAAAAACGATCAAAACAAGGTGGGGTCATTTTTATTTTTACCCCAGAGAACCTAAGATGTAAACATCCAGCAGGACAATATACCAAATGTATAAATACGAGTAGTATTCAGTAGTGTAGAAGGATAAGTTACAAAAACCACGAAATATAATTTTGTAAAGGTTTGAGCAAAACTATAAACAGCCGGAGTGTGAAGCCACGAATAACACAAGTCGTTAACCGAGCAGGGGGACAGAAATCACCGTTACCCATTTCGTCCAACTTCTCTTTAAAACTGCTAACTTCCCTTTTCTTTTCTTTTTTTAAAACTTGTTTTATCTTCATTTGTGCTTCTTGTGTAGCCACTAATGTGTTATTACACGTGTGTTACGGCGGACTTGTGGTTTTCACACGAGGCGCAGCAACTTTTGAAGCAGCTTCTCGTTGCGAGCCAAGTCGTCGCCATTTTAATAAACGTCTAAACAGCGCTCCCTGATCGGCTGTAATGAACAGCGCTGTGTTCCTCTGAGCTCACTCCTAAACCCCCTCCTCTGACTCCACGAAAATGGCCACGCAGTTGCATTCCCGCACATGTACAACCTCTGCTCTGTAAACACACACTCACACACATACACACACGCGCGCGCACATGAACGAACAAACACACACACATACACACACACACAGCCTTCGCTGACACGTTAACAGCCCGTGCACAAACGGCAGCTCGGTCACTAAGGCGGGAGCGACAACCCAACTTTCCCCCCGCGAGAAGTGAGTGGAAATGAAATCCAGTGTGAGCACTCCGCCACCTAGCTGCGGGGACGCGGATGTGTCGACCGTGTGATTATGAAAACAACCGCGCCAATGTTGTTGCACAGTAGGCTCGGCGCTCCGAGCGGGACTGAAACTCGGCGTTAGGGGCTGTTATAACCTTTCCTGGCCTCAGTTATGTAATCAAGGCACCGTCTAATGCGCCAGCGGGCTGTGGATTCGCCGTGGCCGCAGGGGAGCAGGACAGCGACACCTTCACATCCTCCTGCCCGAACGCAGTTGGCTTCGGGACGCGCTCTCGGGTAAGTAGCCTACGTAGCCTTATTACAGATTGTCATGGCAGTTTGTATTAATGTGTGCGGGCCTGTCATCAGCAGCGAGCTCAGATCACTGTAGCCCGGAGAGAATTTTGTGCATCCGCTTTGCGCTAATTTTATCCCTTGTTGCCGAGTATGTTCGCCCCCCTCGTCTGTGTTCTCCAATCCGCGCACGGTGATATTTCTTATTTCAATGTTGCTGACACCAGCAGAAGGGCCAGCAGAGGACAGATAGAAGAGAAAAATGTGTCTGGGGACTAACCCTCGTTACCGACGGCAGCAGCTCGGCACCTTTTCCTGCTGCGCAGCCCCTTCACTTACACGTATGTTGACTTTCAAACGCGCAGCGGAGTGGTGTTTTTCGGAGCCCAGGCTGTACCATGTACAGTCGTCGCCTATGGCGAAATGAGTGACGACAACAACAACACGTGCATGTGTGTATGGTTAGTGAGTGCGACAGCGGCGGCGGGAGGCAGATAGTAATTTTTTAAGGGGTGCGCAAAGTCATGATGGAGAAGGAAGCCCCTGTTGACGTCCACACCAAATCAGTGATAGCTTTCTTTCGGTGCGGGTAACACCCCCGCTGCCCCTACTGTATGTACAGTAGCAACATCAGGCAGCCTACGCAGCTGTGACCCAGGTACACAATGTACGGCCAACGCACACTTTTATTACACTTATTTGTGTGTGTGTGTGTGTGTGTGTGTCCGCGGGAGGAGAGAGAGACTCATTAGACTAGTGTGTATAAAGTAAAGAAGTGAGCAGCTCATACAGTAAGGTAGTGTTTTAGTTTCCAACACAGGAGGATTTTCAACTGGGCCACACGTGGGGTTCACTGGGCTGCATAACCCAGTGACATTGGTCTGGCCTACTTTTAGCCCACACAGTTCATTTACATCGGGCCCACATCTGGGTTTGACACCAAACCCCAGTCGGCCACATTAGGTATGACATCATGTAAACATTATGCCATCATTGTCAGACGTGGCCCACATCATGTTGACAAACCCCCTGCCATGGTAATGGTGCCAACTTGATCTGGCCCAGACTTGTCTGCTATAAGACTAAGAAAGTGTATAATTAGGTATAAAGTTCAAAGATCCTACCGTATAAGGTATGGTAGTTTTCCAGATAGGACGTATATGTGGGTCACACGTGGATTTATTGGGCTGCATAACATAACACAATTGGTCTGGCCTGAGTCTGGCTCACATATTGCTATTACACATGGTCCACCCAATCCAAAGAGTTATGGCCCTTTTATGGGCCAGATCTTGTTTGCTAGAAATGGCCCACACATGGGCCACTGTGTGGACTGGTACGCTAAAACGACAAACCACAACTGTACCAGATTGAAAGAATATCTAGTACAGATCTTTCTGCTGTGGGACTCACACTAGAATGTGTATATGGAGCAATGAAGTAATCAGCACCCCCTGTAGGTGGTACTTTAACTTTTTTAGATATGGGCCACATGTTGGTGTATTGGGCTGGAAAAGTACAGTAAAATTAGTCTGACCCAGATCTGGCCCTCGTGATGCACATAAACTTAAACATGGGCTTCACGTGTTGGGCTGCATAGTTATAGCAGGCGTGGGTTAGAACCTGGGAATCTGTCCTTTCTCACATATGGGCAGTTCACAGTGGACCTATGTTGAACAATATAGCCTACTTTGCATCTACTTTGGTCTCTTTCATGCACACATAATCAGTGGGTAAAACCCACAGATCAGTAATAAGATACGGACATATTTACATGACATAGTGGCGGAGTTCAACCCATCGTTTTAGCAGGAACTTTGCGGTACGTTGTCGAGGGCTCTTCACGCTGGGGGCTACAATAACTCAATAAAGTTATGACCCCGGACCAGAGGAAGCAGTCTAACCACACAAATCAAAGGCCACTCACCATAATTTAGACACCCTTTCCTTTTGGCCCACGAACTGCGTCAACAGGAAATGTAATCAATTATCGGTAGGAAATATTTGGAGTAGCCGTCTTACAAAGACGTCCGTGTATGGACGTATGTTTATAAAAAGCGGACGTAAATATTTCTGGTGTTCAGTGAAGCTAGTGATTGGTACTGGTCCAATATTAATTCATGAAAAGTTAGGTTGTTAGGCTAGGTTATGACCAGTAACATTTATGACACATGGTTGGTTCATTTTGACTTGATCGAACCCGGTGAAACTCAATGTCAGTTTTTTTGCGAATTATAATTCAATTTACAGAAAATATTAGAAGACACAGCGTGTGATTGGCAGCTGTATTGTCCGATGGGAACTGGCCAATGACATGACACGGTGTGCGTCAGAGACATTCTTTGACATTGTGTTCTGTAGTAAAAATCCAAGCACTTCCAGGAAAACTGTATTAGTCGGTGATAAACAGAGTGAAAGGCTCTATAAATTTGAACAGGTGATATCATTTCCCATCATCACGGGCTCTCCAGGCGCCCGATGAGAATTGGCATCGGCCTCAGAAATTGCATTTTTTTTTGGCACAGACTGTGTTGCGCAGGTCAGCCGTAAACTTTTATTTACCTAAAAAAAAAACCAGCAGCTCGTTGAAATGTCGAACTCTGCTTGAAAAATGAAGACTCTACAAACAACCAGCACAGACGTGAGCAGATGTCAGACAAACAACAAGTAAAAAAAAGGGTCAGAGTCTTTAAGGTAAGACGTGTGTAGTACTAGCTGTGATAGATGCCAGGAAATTAGAGCAAACTCGTTTTCATGGGTTCGCTGCTGCTGCTGCTGCTGCTGCTGCTGCTGCTGCTGCTGCTCCGTCTGTTGTCAGGCAGATGAAAACAGTGTTGTAGTTATTGATGATAACACCATCATGAGATGTTGATGATGGCTGGAAAAATGGTGGCTATTATCTTGATTTAATCGTCGCCTTTGCGCCGCCGAGGAATCACACTGACTAGAGTCCACCCATCATCCTGTCAGTGAGAATAGCTTCTGGTCTAATGTTAGAAGGATTTTGAGTTATGTCGGAGAGTTATCTCAGTGGAGAGTATAAAAATCTATTCGAATGCACTCTGACTCCTGTTGAATCGCCTCGGCCTTTTCCCTTTCCTCTCCGCGCAACCTGCTCTCTGAGTTGTTTGTGTCCCCACTTCCTATAGGTTAGCCCGCGCGCCGCTGAGGTCACGACAGGGAGGGCTAATGAGATTTGAGAGGGCCGCTCACTATCTCCGTCGCTGGTGTGTGTTATTTTATTGTGAGGAGGTTTGGCCTTGAAAATGCTTTCCAGTGCGGTTGCATAACAGCCTTTACTGGAACAGATGTTGATTTGAGCTCACTGTGACACAAAGACAGGGTTTAGGTGTGAAGGGTCCAAGACGCAGGAGAGATGTCCACTGAGCTTCAGAGCCCAAATGTTATCCCTGCTCCTCTTTTCAAGTTTACGGAGGCCGTCGGTTGTGATGAGAGACAAATGAGCTCTACATGAAATGCTCTCGGGAGACATCTGCGAGATTGCTTAGCATAGTATGTTTTATTAGAAAACCGATGAGTGTCCTCCTTAATGAGACGCAGGCAGTTTAATGAAGGAAGCATGAGGGAAGATGTGGCTTCCCTCCGATACGCCGTCTGACAAACTGCGCCACGCACGGAGCGAGGAGTGAGAGTGAAAGTTTTTTTTTTTTTTTTTTTCGGCGAGGGTAAAATGTTATTTCAGGGTGTGCTGCTCTGCTGTAATGTCACATTAAAAGTCCATTTACAATGGGGTCAATGAAAAGCTTACTTAACTCGGAGGAAGCAATGGGAGGAGGAGGAATTCGCACTGCTTTCCAAAAATAAGTTTTACCCTTTCCTACGGATTTGAGTTACCACTACTGAAAGTGGAGGAGGGGAACGGCCAGACCGTGAATGGAGGGATTTAGGTTGGAGAGAAGAAAAGGAACCAAGTGGAGGAGGAAATATGGTTCTGATTAACATGGATGTAGTGTATGAGGTGACCATTTTACTGTGTGGTCTACAGAAAGGCAGAGAGGCAGAGAGGGAGAGAAGGAGAGAGAGAGAGACGTGGAGTGGATGGGGCTAATAGAGAATAATGCAAAAGCTTTCTGCCAAACATTAAAAGGGGAGTTTCGGAGAGAAAAGACAGAAGAGCAGAGGGAAGGGTGGGAGGAGAAGAGCTGGTGGGAGTAGTTGAGAACAGAAGGCGCAAAGACAGCGGGGAGAGGAGGGGAGGAGACTGGATCAACTGTTTGAATTAGTCAAGAGCAGACTGATTGATATATTGATCCTGGAAGGAGGGGGGAGAGCCGGGATTACAACTTAAGAAAATGTCTCAGGGTTTATGGAGGGTTCACGTTCCTCCACAGCTACTGTCATTTACAGATGGTTGGAGAAAACCAGCTGATGGTGGTTCCGGAAAACAAAAAGTGTGAGTGGTTCTCGTTCAGTTACGGACAGTGACGGCGTTTCACTGATTGGTCCCCGGGGTTTTCTATACGATGAGATCATCTCTGTGGACACACACTTTAGCACCTCTCCTCAGCTGCCTGGAGGAAGGGGACTTTCCCTCCAACTCCTTCCTCGCTGCTGCTCAGCATCTGAGCTCACTGAAGTGACTAATATCTAACATCTTTCTTTTTTGTCTTCTCCCTCTCTCCCCCCTCCACCCCTCTCTCTCTCTCTTTTTCCTTCTCTCTTTTTCCTGTTTCTTTGCCTCTTTTAAACTCTCTGCTCTCAGATCAAGCATAAAAGAGAAGAGAGAGACCTTGGCTGGATGAAGACACCCGACTGTGGTTGTTTTTACTGGATTTACTCTCGGAAATCTTCCGGCCTGCTTTCATCTCGCTGTCCTTGACCCCATTAACCCCATTAGGTGCAGTAAGACGTCCTGTACTGGGCACTCCACAGCATCCTGCCTCTCCCCCCTGACGTCTCTGATGGACCAGAGAGTGAAGGGGGGAACCCCTCCAGCCACAAACCTAACTCTGGACCCCTCCTCTGCCTCCGAGGACTCCGAGCAGGATCTAGTGGCGGAGAAGAAGAAGAGATGTGATGGAGAGAGCAGAGATGTAGGGAAGAAGGAGGAGGAGAAGAAGGGGGCAGGACGGAAGAGGGAGACGGACAAGGGGGCAGTACTGGAGCTGCTCATTGAGGGGCGCTGTGGGAGCTCCGGGCAGCAACAGCTTCAGCTTGCTGGCAGGGAGGCCACTTGCCCCGAGGGTAACGTGCGATTCCGAATCGGACTGCAGGAGAAGCGCACCAAGAAGCCTCCAAAGATACTGGAGAGCTACATCTGCAAGCCCACCATTAGGACGTATCAGAGACAGGGCCGAGGGGGGCTGCTGAGGGGGGACAGTGAGGGAGGACTAGGGCAGCAGACCAAGACCAGCTCTGTTCCAGATGATTCAGCCCGAGAGCAACGCTTACGTCTGGATGTTGTCCAGGCAACATCCAAACAAACCGCATCTGCGGCTTCGCCGCCACTTGCGGTGTCGTTATCCTCGTTGTCATCGCCTTCATCATCAGAGGAACTGCCGTTATCATCTACTCTTGCCTCATCCTCCACGCCGGCGTCCGTCCCCACCATTCCCAGTCAGGGGACCAAGTCTGCCAAACAGGTAAGCTGTACATGCACAGATCCCAGTTTCCCCCTGCAGGTGGTGCTATGAGTGTAGTGCACAATGAAGGGCCCAGAAATGTACTTGCTCGACTACAATTTTGATTTAACCCAGTGGTGTCAAACATAAGGCCCGCGGACCAAATCCGGTCCGCTGCATGAATTTTGAATGTTAAAAAAATACACAAACACTTCATGTTCATCATGTTTTGTCAAATTATATTTCATTAAATATGAATGTTTTCTAATATATTTCAACTTCCTGGAAACTAAGGACGCTACTTAGTCACTGTCGCACAATTAAAATGAACGCCGGCGCTCCTCTCTCCGCCATATTTCTACGACTGCAATGCATGATGGGATATACTGCTTGGGTAGTGGCCAGTGGTTGATCACTAGATTTTGCAGTGAATTGTGGGATACATTGAGGGGCGCTTTATAGTGGACTACTTGGACTCGACATCTACTAAACATACGGTGCACTGTTTTGGGTGTAGGGGGCGGTGTAGGACACAGCCTGCGTTTCCTTTGATGCTAAGCTAAACTCCCCACATTTTACTTCTGCATCTTTGTTATCTGCAACAGTGCATCTTGTGAATTGCAGTACTGCCACCTGCTGGGTCTCTTTTCAGACTGCAGACACACAAAAAGAAAAACAACCCACTGACGTCGCGTTGTTTTTGGCGATTTTCAGACTGCGCCACCTTTAAATGATTAGTAGAAATGTGACAACATAATGACGGTCCCTTGGAGCCGTTCTACTCCTCATCCGTCCCTCTGACACTAACCTAAGGGGAAGTTTATCGCTTCAGCTGCACACACACACTACTCAAGCTGCAGTGTACCAAAATTACCGGACAAGTATATAAAATGTCAAGGCTTCTCATCTGTATTAGTGGCAATTTATAGCTACCAATAGCACAGCCTTCCCTCTCTCCTTCTGTTTCTGCGAGGCTCCCTATATCTGTCCCTCTTTTCTATTTTTACATCCTCTCTTTCTCTACCTGTTCTCATTTATCTTTCACTACCCCTCGTCCTCTGTCCCGCTCCTTCCCTCCTTCCCTCCCTCTCTCACTCTGGTTCTCTGCCTTTGTATTCCTCCATTCTGTGTCAACCCCGTTGCTGTTTCCATCACCTCACTCCTTTCTTCTCCGGGGTATGGCCTATTTTCTCTGCCTGAATGAGTCATGTTGTCCCCCACTTTTTTAATGGTCCCTCTGAAACAAACATCATTTCACTTATTGTCTCCGACGCCTCGCTCTTCACTGTTGTCCACAGCACTTTACTGTCTCTGACAAGGACTGCCTGTTTCCTTTTCTCCAGGTTCCTGTCAAGCTGGGCGACAAGACAGAGGTGAATCCGATCGGTTCGTCTGAGAGGTCAAAGAAGGAGAAGCCCCCTAGTGTCAACGGACAGTCGAACTCTGCGGGACACAAGTCCTGCTCCCCCAAAACAGACCAGGCAGCTTCGACTGTTCCTTCCACACCTTGCACTCAGACACTCTCCGCGTCCGAGTGCAGTAATGAAGATAACACCACCAAGAAAAGTAACGGTTCGGTACGCACGCCGAGACAGACGGGACTATCGAACGGCAACGACCGTGCCAACGTCCTCGGCACCTCCTCGAAAGTCAAAGCTGGGAAACACAGCAGTTCTTCCTCAGTTTCTTCCGTGGATTCCTCGACGAGACCTCAGGTCTCCTCCGGCTCACATAAGGAATCAAGCCTGTCCAAAAAGGCTAGCCCGTACTCCGCTTCCTCTCCCTCAGTGGCCACTAAACCACAGTCCTCCCCAACTCTAGACCAATCCCAAGACCAGAATCCCACTCTGGAGATTTCACTAGAGAAAAAGAAAGACAAGAAAACGAAGAAAGAGAGACACAAGGACAAAAAATCGAAGCGGCATAAGTTGGAATCTGATAGAGCAAAGGGTGAAAGCAAAGAGCAGGATGACAGAAAGAAGAAAAAGGAGAAGGGCAGAGATGGGAAAACAAAGCATGCTAAAGAGAAGGCTGAAAGACACAGGGCTGATGACGGGAGCAGAGAGGAGCAAAAGGCTGACAAAGGAAGGAGCGAGAAGAAGAAGGACAAGGCCGGCTTCATCAGGCAGAAGTCTGAGGACAGTTCTCCGAGGTTTGGTGAAACAGTAGCCAGTGGTAAAACAGATAAAAACTGTAAATCACCAACCGCAGTCGGGCCAGAGGAGGAGGACGACAGTTGTGGAACAGTTAAACCAACTGAGCCAAGAACGTCGACAGGTGACAACAATAAATCAAAAGAACCAGACAACTCAAAACAGTCAACTGTGCCTCAGTCGAGCCAGCCCTCCTGCTCTGCTCCTCCCTCTTTACCCGCTCCTTCTGCTCGTGCACCAGTTTCTCCCCCTTCATTCCCCCCAGAGCAGGACAGCCGCCCACTCAAGAAACGTAAAGCGAGACGACCCAGCTGGACCAAGCTGGTGCACCGGGCTCACAGAGCAGAAAATCACGAAGCCCCTGCAGATTCCCAACATAATTCAGCAGCGACTCTCCCCCAGAATCCCAAAACCTCTCCTCCTGCCAACGCCTGTTTCCAGCAGACTGACTCCCATCCAGTATCTAGCTCCTCTAACACCAACACTTCTCCTCTCGCTTCTGCAACAAAACCGGCGTCCCCGAAACACCCCACATCCGACCCCAGCTCCCCCGCATCTGCAGCTTCAGCTCGAAAAAGGGGCCGTCCTAAATCCCACAGCTTGAGCTTTGATGAACCTCCACCTCGACTCTCACTGAGTTCGCCTTCGGCGGAGGAGTCTCCTCTTGGGTGTAACCAAGTTCAGAAAGCCCCTGCACCAGAGCCAAGCCCAAGACTGCAGTGCGCAGCTCAGTCTAGTTCCAGCCCCAAGAAGCGCGGCCGTCCTCCTAAACGACACCTCCCCGAGGAGCACTGTGGAGACGTTCTGAGTCAGGCCGAGCACTCGGACAGAAATAAGGATTTCCATACGTCTGACAAGACAAACAGGCTGAAGTTGAGGAGGATGATTAATTTCATGAAGAAGAGAAAGAAGAGGAGGCTCAACAAAGTCATGTTGACGGGGTACGTGGGTAAGGAGGGCAGGGCTGGACGGCCAGGAGACGGGGAGACCCCTCTGAGCATGTGTAAGTCAATCGAGGCTACAACGGTCCACACCCTCTCGGCCCTGTCCTCCTCCTTTGGAAGTAAGCTGGGCCCTCAGATCAACGTGAGCAAGAGAGGGACAATCTACATGGGCAAGAGACGGGGACGCAAGCCCAAGGTCCAAACCCCCAGCCTGAAGTTCGCTCCTCAGAGTTCCGCTCAGTCGTCCCTTTTCACCAATCTCCCTGAAACGTCTCTCTTCTCCTCCAGCCAACCCCCGCCGCCTCACTCTCACTCTCACTCTCACCCCTTCCCCTCCCCGTCTCTCACACACTCCAGTGGTGCCCAGAGTCCTCGCAGTGAGGGAAGCATCACCGAACCCACGTCTTCTCTCCTCTTTCCTCACCACTTCTCCCTTCCGTCCCCCTCGTCGTCCTGCACCTCCCCGCGTCCGCCCTCCTCCTCCTCCCTCTCCTCATTTGCGAAGAAGAACTGTCTGTGCCAGGGACGGCACCAGTTCCCCTTCCACCAGTCGTCGTGTAAGCTCTCCTGTCCCCTCCCTTCGCTGCATCACACGGCCGGCTCACCTAGTCGCATCAAAGACGCCACGCCGTCCCCCAGGAGTGAGTCTCACAGCGAAGAGACGCTGCCCAGTGACAGTGGGATTGGGACGGACAACAACAGTGTTTGTGAGCGAGGGGAGCTGCGGGGGAGTCGCGGCATTGTCAGGTTGGGTCAGGGGTCAGGAGTGATGCGGGGAGCGCAGAGACAGCACACCCTGGATGAACATCCTTCTCCTGTCTCCTCACCCCCGTCCCACACCCCCAGACATACTAACCTAATTAGCAGCCCTGGAAATGTGGAGCGGCACAGAGACAGACACAGGCACCGGCGGAGGGACTACGATTGTCCCTCTTCCTGTGCCTGTGTGTGTCCCTGCCCGGGACACAATAACTGCACTCATTCAGACTATTACCCCTGCCTGGGGCACAACGCTCTGAAGAGACAGAAAACCAAACACAAAAAGAAACACCAGCAGCTGCAAGTGCAGGATCCAGAGTTCGTGGCCGAGCTGGAAGATATGATTGGTCAGTTCAACGAGGTCCACATTGGGAAGCGAAGTTGGTTGAGAGCGGGGGCGGGGCAGGGCTTCGATGGAGGTGGGTCGGCTGCAGGGGGGAGACGCCACCACTCCTCCGCCCACCCGCTGCGTTCTAACATCTTCAGGATTAATCTGAACGGTTTCTACTCGCCTCACCCTTCCACCTATCCTCCAAACCCCTCCCTCTCTCCCCAGTCCTTCTTCCCGTGCCAGTCAGTGCATTGTAGCAGGAAGCCGGAGCGCAGGCAGTGCGGCTGCCCCTCAAAGTTTCAGGAGACCATTGAGAACATGGGCTTTTACGGCAGCTACCCCCCACCCACCACGCTCTACCACCACCACCACCACCTGCCGGGCTCCTACCCACTTCCATCTCCTCACCAGTACGCCGCCCATCAGCCCCACCATGCGCACTACCTTCTCAACCCAGCTCGGTTTCACCGACGCAGGAGCAGGCTGCTGAGAGAAGGCGCTCTAGGGGGGGAGGTGGAGGGGGCCATGGGTGGAGGCAGCGGGTGCCCCCACCTCAGCTCAGGGTTCACGTCCAGCCTTTCCTGCGGCTGCAGGAGAAACGAACACAAACGCAAACATAAACACCGCCACCGGCCGTGCGAGCGAGACATGGACGAGGAGGAGGAGCTACACGGAGACGAGGAGGACGACAGCTTGGAGAGGGAGGCCATGTCCAGCTCCAAACACGGGTCGGGGTTCGTGCTGGGCCAGGGAAACGCAGGGAAGCAAGGGAAAAGAGGACTGGGAAGCGTGCTGTCCAAAGAATCTCCCTGGTTATTTCAAAACAGAAACAGTTCCTTCACTTCTGCTGCGGCCTCTTCGTCGTCATCCTCATCATTATCGCCCTCTGCTGAGAGGTACAGACACATGTCTCTCACCTCCCTGGGGCTGGGCTCCTCTCACCTGTCGTCGTTCGGAGGAGGCTGGGGCGCCCTGAGCCAGAGCCAGATGAAGGCCGGCAGCCTGGTGGGAGGCCCCGAATTCCGAAACTCAAACCCCAGCTGGAGAGGTTTCGTGGGGGAGCAACACACGGGCAGGTCGGTGGCGTCAGATGAAGAGGACAAAGATGAGGAGGAGGCTGAGGAGTCGCACCTGTACGGGGCCTCGCCCACGCCGTCTCCATCACACACCAACCTGTTCACCTCCGCTGCCATGGCTGCAGGAGGAAGATGCTCCAGGAGCGGACTTGGCAGGAGCTCTGGTCAAGAAGAGAGTGACGACAGGTCGCTGAGACGGGACGTGCCGACGTGGAGAGACCGGAGACAACCAGGTGAGGGCGCAAGTGAGATGTTCTGTACTGATACAGTCTATGAATGAAAGGAAGTGGTGGCTTCATATTCTGTCACGTTATTTATCCGCGTTTTTCTCAACCCGCCTATTGCTTCTGTTGTCAACATACCATATTATTACATTAAAAGAAAGAAAATATTGTTGGTAGTATTTTTTAGCATAGTTTTAGTGATTTAACTGAACAATTTTTGTAGCTTGTCGTAGCTAATGTTAGCTCTGGTGCCTGTACCGGAACTATTGTAGCTAACGTTAGCTGCGTTGTCTGTACTACAAATGTAGCTAATGTTAGCTCAACCTGTGCTAACATGTTTTGCATTGAGGTGTATTAGCTGCGTTGTCTGTACCGAAATGTAGCTAATGTTAGCTCAGCCTGTGCTAACATGTTTTGCATTGAGGTGAGGTCCTGTAGACGTTTTTGATATCATTACCAGAACTGTTGTAGCTAACTTTAGCTGCGTTGTCTGTACTACAACTGCCGACAAACGCTTCTTCAGTTTTCTGGCGTCGTCTGTTTTGTTCCTTCAGAAATACATCATCAATAAACAGCTTCCTGGCGATAATGTAGCAGATGTGGGAGGTCGAACACCGACTGTGCCTACTACGGCTACGTAAAAATAGCGCCTAATTTATGACAGATAGCTCAGTGAATGGATTTGACTTCATCGGTGTCTTTTCACTGACTCACCGTGACATTTTGTTTTTGTTTTCATTTTTGCACCACGTTAAAAAAGAGTCTTTGCCCGAATATAGTTTTAGGTGTTGCTGGGCCTCACATCAAAGCCTGGAGGCTGTTGGAGAGGAAATCAGACTCTGGTCTTTTTATAGACAATTTTAGACTCCTTCTGCTGTTCAGAGGTGTGCGTGCGTTTGTTTGTCTCGCACACACACACACTCACACACACACACACAAATGCAAGCACTCAGCAAACACTCACTGATGGAATTTCTGTACGGTGTTTTAGCAGCGGGGGCAGCATCTCGGTGAGAATCTGCCAGAAAATCGTTGCAGCCTCTCTAGTCTGAGGTGAACCACACGCTGTTACTGCCCAGGGCTACCCAGCCAACACGGCCATTTGTTAAAGCACCAAACTGGCTATTTAAAGCCCGGCCTATCCCTCGCTGCCGGCCAACGGGCTCTAGTTGGAAAAAAAAAAAAAAAAAAAAATCGAATGAAGAAAGAGTGGTCACTCTTGTCAGTGGAAAATTGAACCAAAGATGGACGACCACCGGAGTGATTGATGAGAGAACAGCGTGGGGTCAGAGTTGGGGCAGGGTGAGCTCGGGAAGGAAAATATTTTTTGGGAAATACTTTTGATATTAGTTCATCATCTAAGCACATGTTTGAGTTACTGTGTGCTCGCACAGACGCCCCCTCCCCCCTCCCCCCCCCCCCCCCCTCCCCCCCTCCCCCCTCTCTCTCCTTCTGTCTGCTCCGCCCTTTGAGATTGTGTATCACATTAGTAACTGTGTGCAGGAAAATGCACATGTCTGCAGCCTGAAGTATGCAGTTGCACACTGTTTGGGTCTATTGTGTTTGGTGTCTGTGCCTCTGCATAAATCACTCCTTAATACATTTCCCAGAAGTGATCTGGTCTGAGGAAATGTTATGACTCACCTAATCTGTGGCCCATTCACATGAGTCAGCCATGACTGGCTTCACCTCACACCTCCCGCCGCCTGCAGCCGTGCAGCCCATCCACATCTGTCTGGTTTTTCCTCTCCGCCACTCACACTCTGCCCTCCCCTTTTATGCCTCACCCCTTGCCTCTCTCTGACTCTCCTTCAACCACTGCAGGCGTACAAGGTGACTCAAGAAGCCAGGGGCAGCAGAAAAGTCTGCCAACGCCCGGCAGTCTGGCCGTGAAGAGCAAAAGAAGGCCAGGCCGGCCCAGGAAGCATCCACTGCCCTTCACCGCCTCCTCTCCCACACGCTCGCCCCTGCCTCCGTCTCTGTCATCACTTGGAGCGTTGCCAGGACATCACCACAACATAGACGGGAGAGAGGCGGGAGGGAGGAGGGAGGACAGGGCGCCAGAGAGAGACGGAGGGCATGACGCGGTGCAGCAGGTGACGGAGCTGGACCTGCAGGCCAAAAAGAAGAGAGGGCAGAAGAGGAAGCAGGACGACTCCCCCTGTCATCAGAGGTAAACCTTCACACGTGCATCAGAAGGACGCCTGAGTGGGTTGACCTGAAAATTCAATACGACCACTCACTATCACCATATTAACCTATTGTTTTCAGCACTGTGTGCTAAACCAGTGCCTCTTCTTTCTTTCTCTTTTTCCTCTCTATCACTCTATCTCTCTCTTCATGCTTTCCTTTAGTGTTGCAGAGTTTGACGCCCTGCCCGAATGTCTCAGCCCATCGGACGGGGAGCAGGCGTCGTCCCAACCAATAGATGTCCAGGAGGAGGAGGAGAGAGACGAGGATCCTGCCGTCAAGACATATCTGAGAGCTGGTCTTTACTCAGACGATTACAAAACCACAGAGTACGTTGACACTTTTACTGCAACTCACAGTACAACCGCGGCTGTGATGTTCAATATCATATATATATATATAAATATAT